CAGGAGCTATTCTACACATTAATATAAGTCCCTTTATTCCTTAAAATAATCTTGTGAAATAGATACTATTACCATCTCATGTTATAGATGAGGAAACTGAGGCATAATTAAGTAATTTATTCAAGGTTATATAACAAATGAGTGGTAGAGTCAGGATATGAACCCAGGAAGTCTGACAGAGTCTATACTCTTAATCATTGCCCATATCTTTTTTAAAAATTTATCTTTATTGTTGAATATTACAGATGTCCCCTTTTTTTCCCATTGACCTCATCCACCCCTCGTCTACTCCCCATCCCAGGCCTTCACCATGCCCATATACTTTTATATGGAAAATTCCCACAGGATCAAATGCCATTTTAATTTTTTTGTCTTGTTTTTTTAAACAAGGTACTTGGAAGACTTAACCATGGTGAGTCACCGAGGATTTGATGGTGTTTATACACTTTCCTCCAGGCCCTACTTTGGTGGATGAGTGATTACCAGTTTCACTAATTTGTCAATTGATTTTGACTTCTATTTAATAAATATAATAAATATGTACAAAATGTGTTTTTTTTTAAAATTAAAGTATGTCTGACCCAGGCTCAGAAGTACAGATGTTAATGTTAAAGAACTGACTGATAGACATAGATGTCACATGACAAAGAACATTCATTGTGATGTGTTGGCAAATTTCAACTATCATATAACCACTGAAGTCCATATAATACACAAAATTCAAAAAGAAATTCAAAAGAACCTTTTGAAAATCTTAATTAGAGGTAGAAAACTTAAACTATTTACTACAAAAGTATAGAGAGGTTATTAACACTTTAGTATATGCAGTTTATAAGGAAATATTAATTTCTCTGTGTATCAGGTGCTCATTATAATTAAAAGCTGGTAACCATGGAGACAGAGAGCATAGCATTTATAAAATTAAAAAACATACCAGCTAGAAAATGCAAATAGAGTGAATTTTTCCCAAACTTGTCTTAGCTTGATTTCCCTTTAATCCAAAGATATCAAATTTCTATCTGGCCATTTTCTGAGTAAAATGACTCATTTTTCAAACCTTGAATTTCTGCTTTAGCTATCTCAGCTTATTCATTTGATAATGCTTTTTATCTAGATTCAATTTAGACATGATAGAATGTATTGGGCTAAAGTTTTTATAGATAACCAATACCTAGGAAGTGGTGACTTTTAAATTGACCTTGGAAATTTGAATGAATATTTGAGCCTTTTATGTAGACATTTATTGAGAATTTTCAGTTGCTGTATTGTAAGTGATTAGTCACTTTTAGTTTTAAAATCTATTTCTTTTGCTAAATCATATAGATATTCTAGGTAGAGAACCTTCTGGTATAACATCATTTTCTGTTTCATGAAATGATTTACTTATCTATGAAATGGTATGCTGGAGAGCAACAACCAAGTTTCTTTATTCCTGCCAGTAATATTTTGATTATTTATAAATCTATTCCCTGAGTCCACTATGACAACAGGCTACTTGTCTATAGATATTCTAAAAGTGGTATTGTTTGAATTAAAAATCTTTGTAAATAATTTAAAACATCATAAAAAGATCTTACATTCTGGAAGAATAATTTTACTCAAGGAGGTTGCCAGATTTTCTATTCAAATGGAAGTTGTTTATTTTAAAAGCGGAATAGGTGATATTTGAAAAATGATTGCAACTGGTTCAATTGAGAAAAAGTCCCATACAGTGCTCTTCATAGTTTCATCTGATTGTGATCTGGACCCATTTTAACACATTTTAAACTCTCATTTCTCAGGAGAGTCAAAATAAGTGGCTGATCTCAACCTGACCATCAAAGTGCTTTTGTAATCATGACTATCAACACTAGTATGTACTAAAATGAATGTGTTGTGCTACATAAGAACAGGGACATAGTCCTTTCATTTGCTCTGCTTTAGTAGGACCCTTAGTAAGATACTCTAGCTACCTATGGTCACTAGGCCTTAAAAAGGAACTAGAACTTAAACTGATGAACAAAATAGATTAAATGACATGGAAACATAGATCAGACTGATGAATGTCAGAGGGTTGGAGGAGGGTGGGTGGGTAGAGGAGGAGACATTAACCAAAAAATGTATATACATATATGCGTAACCCATGGACACAGGGTGGGGAGAGGGACTGGGGAGAGGGATGGGATGGGGTGGAATTGCTCATTGGGAAGAAAAAGGGACATTTGTAATATTTTAAACAAAAAGAAACAAACAAAAAAAGGAACTAGAGAGACAGCAGAGAGCCCAGGAATGAGTGACAGAGTTGAAACAATGATCCAGGAAGAATGTTCTTAAAATGTGTTCTGTGGTTCACTTGCATCCCAATTACATGGGGAATTTATTTAAAAATGCAAAATTTTAAAACAAGTTGTCCAGATAGTTCTTAGGTTGATCAGATCTTAGAACCTTTGTCATTGGGGAAAATAAGTTATTGGGGCAGATTATTTGGGAAGGGTGTTCTGGCCACCATGGCCAGAAGAATATACCTAAGGAACTAACAGCAAAGGTAGAACAAGATCCCTATTGTACAGGACAAGGCCCAACACGCTAGCCCAATAATTACCACTCCCCCTGAGTTCCTATAGAAAGAACAAACCAGTCACACTTCTGCCAAGCATAACGCCATTACTCATTGTAAAATACTGTGTTTAAATCACCCCTTTTTGTGTTGCTAAAGATCCCCCCTTGTTTCCTGTACCAAAAGCTGACAACCTAACAAATTCTTGGAAACCCCTTTACTGCAGTGCCTTTGTGGTTACTGAGTATAAAATGAGGGTAGAACTAAGGGTCAGGGCTGCAGTTTGGCTCTTACATGAGTGAGACGCTGCAACAGTAGCCGCTGTCCAGCTAATAAAGGCTCCAAAATTCAAACACAAACTCTGGTGGCCGTCTCTCGCAGGTCACCCCAGAACAAGGGGAAACATAGGGGCAAATGAATAACAATTTTAAGTTAATTAACAGTCTGCCCTTAATAAGACCCAATTAGAATTTTCTGTCTTGCTCTCATGGACCCCTTTGAGTCATTTTGAAGCAGAAAATACAAAGATTTCTTGCTGTTCATGTATCAAATAACATTTTTTTCTTGTTATTTCTTACAGACTCACCTTTCTCTCTCTAAAACTTAACATTTTTTAAAAAAAGTATAAAACTATTCTGATGATTTACCTATTTAGAACTGTAGAAACATCTCATTTCTCAGAGGAAAAAAAAGCCTTTCCTATCAGTGAAAGGGACTGAGTAACAAAATGAACAGTATCCTCAGTTTTAGAACAACAGTGCAGCTGTGAGTTTCACATGATTGTCTCTTAGAACAATCTTCTGTCAAACATAAGGACAAAGCATTAAATGCATCTTACTGAAGGTGATTTTTTTTTATAACTTTATGTTTCTTATTGACACAGATGTCCCCATTTTCTCCCCTTTGCCCACCTCTATCCATCCCCCACCCCCCATTCCCTCTGGTCGTCACCATACTGTTTGTTGTCTTTGTCCAAGAACTATGTATATATGTTCTTTGGCTAATCTCTTCACCTCTGAAAGCTGTCAGTTTGTTCCATGCTTCCATGCCTCTGGTTTTATTTTGTTCATCAGTTTATTTTGTTCATAGCTTCCACATATAAGTGAGATGATATGTATTTGTCTTTCTTTGACTGGCTTATTTCACTTAGCATAATATTCTCCAGGTCCAAGGATTGAATTTATAAGGCCTTTACAGATCTTCCTTAAACATTTCTTCTCTGAGTAGGTGTTTGGAAGGTAGCTGGATAACCTGGAGTGCTGGTGTTCTAAATTTCTGGCTGAAGGCCCATCTGTGTGCTTTGGAACTGACAAGTGTTCTTGCCACACAGCTATGGCTGGATAAAGGGTCTTGCCTCTTTCAGTTTTACCTCACTGATTTCTCATACTCTTCCTAGTATTATAATATCCTTGTAGTAGCATCCCATAAGTATTTATTGAGTAAATTAATAACTAAGGCTCCAAAGTTTTACGCAACATAAAGTTCAGTTTGAATTAATATGTGTGACATAGCCATGAAAACAGTAAGTGTAATCTCGGGCTGCAGGAATAGATGTGTAGTATCTAGAATAGGAAAGGAAAGTTCTGCTCTGCTCTTTCTAGTTTGAGCCATGCCTAGCAATATAGTGTTCTTTTATGGGTTCCCTGCTTTGAGAAATAGTAACAAATTGAATATTAGCCAGGACTGTAGTAAGACTAGAATTATTAGTTTAAGATCATAATTGAAAGATCATGGGATGTAAATGAGAAGACTTCATCAGATTAACTACCATTTTTGATGGTTTATTCTATAGGAAAAGCTCTAAAGGGAAAAAATTGGACTTGTTCTGGATGGCCAGGGAGGGAAGGTGATAAAGACGCATGTTTTAGCTCAACATAAGGAAAAGTTTTCTACTGTTCTAAGAAGGAATTGGCTATCCTAATGAACAGTGAACTCTTGATCAATCAGTAGGTTGACTTAATGAACTGTAGGCTTGATGTAGAAAGGATTCAGACTTCAAAAGGATGACTGGCTTAGATGTCCTTGAAGGTTCCTTCTGAGCTTGACATTCTCTGATTCTCTTATCTCCTCCTATCACCACCCCCAAGTTTATGCTTGTTGCTTGATGCTCATTTTAAGTGTTTATTTCAAGAGCCTCTGAGACACTGCTGTTTATATTTTCAAAGGTTTTATTCTTAGTATTTATTTCATTTGAAATTGAAAGAAAAAAATGACTTTTTTTTCTATTTCTGAAAAGAAAACTTTTGTTAGTAATTTGTAGACTAAGTGAACAGACAAAAAATGTGTTCTGTACATTTTATTTAGACTAGCAAAAGTTAATAATCTGAGGATCCAAATATAAGCTTGATCAAGCTTTTGAATGTGATGTTTCTATTTTTTAAAAGTGTTTTATTGATTTTAGAGTGAGAAGAAAGGAGAGGGATAGAGAGAAACATTGATGAAAGAGAAACATCGATCGCCTGCCTCCTGCACGACCCCTACTGGGAATCAAGCCTACAACCTGGGCATGTGCCCTGACCGGGAATCGAACTGAATGATGTTCATGGATCACTACTCAACTACTGAGCCACACCATCTGGCTGAATAGGATGTTTCTTAAAAATGAATTTGTTATGGAATATCTACAAAACGCTTCTTGCCATGAGTCAGACTTGTGGATATTTCGGGATGACTAAATCTTAGACCAAAGTAAATTTTCATATTTCTTCTTATTCTAAATTTCAAATTGTGCTTTTCTGGGAAAGTAACTATTTTGATTTAATAAATTCTTTAAACATTAAATATCAGAGTATATTTGACTTTTGAGCACGTGGGTGAGTAAATCCCTTTAACATTGAACATCAGAGTATGTTCAACTTTTGCACATGTGACTTCCAAAATATATGCAGTATGCAGATCTGGAAATATGTTGGCATAGCTTATCACACTATCTAGGTGCTTAGCCACACAGGGAAGCAAAACCTGAAAAAAAAAAAAAATTAAATTTGTTGTGTCTTCTTTCCTAAGTAATTCCCATAAATCTGTTGTTTAGGTCAGAAATTTCCTTCCTGTATTGCCAGAGAGTTTGGGAAGAAAATATTCAAATTATTTTTTATAATTATTTTCCTCTGAGAAGTAAAAAATACAGATTTCTCAATATTTACCATATGGCTTAACACTGTGTGCCCTACACTGCCCACATGTTAAACAGTCATGGGTTCTGAAGAGCCCCCTGGTTACTCTAGGAAGAAGGGAGTCAACCATAGTGCCCATTATTTATCAGTTCACTTGTAACATACAACAGTTTATTGCAGTGTTTGTGTGTCTGGTTAAATAGATGAACTTATAGTGCTATCTAGTTTTAGCTCAATTAAGCTTCAAAGATTATTACCATGGATTGCCCTGTCTGGCATGCTAAGTGGTTAGAGCATCAGCCTGCATACCAGAGGGTTGCCGGTTTGATTCCCAATTAAGGGCACAGCGTACCTGGGTCATAGGTCCAATCCCTGCCCCCAGCCAGGGTGGGTGCAGGAGGCAGCCAATTGATGTGTTTTCTCACATCAATGTTTCACTCTCCTCTGTCTCTCTCCCCCTTCCCCCTTCCTTCCACTCTCTCTAGAATCAATGGAAAAAATATCCTCACTCCTCAGGTGAGGATAAAAAAAACAAACAAAAACCATAAGTTGAATATAATGCTAATCACTCATATATTTGTAAAGTGAATTCATGCTGCAATAAACACAGTGAATAATGTACCTTATATATTTAAATCTATTTATTTTTGTTCAGAATTTTATTTTTTGGCTTATAACAACCATTAATATTGAATTTAGAACTGGACTTTGGAATTAAAGCATAAATAAATGTTAAACCAATATTGAAATAAATGATGTATATTTGATTTCATTAATTTTATTTATTTATTATTTAAAAATTTTATTTTTCACTTACAGTTTACATTGAATATTTTTAAAAATATATCTTTATTGATTTCAGAGAGAGGAAAAGAGAGGGAGAGAGAGAGATAGAAACATCAATGATGAGAAAGTCATTGATCAGCTGCAGCCCACAACGAGGGCATGTGCCCTGACTGGGAATCAAACCCTGATCGCCTGGATCCTAGGTCGATGCTCAACCACTGAGCTATGTCTGGCCGGGCTACATTGAATATTCTTTTGTATTAGTTTCAGGTATAGCATAGTGATTAGATGATCATATACTTTACAAAGTGTTCCCCTGATATTTACAGTACCCACCTGGTACCATATATAGTTATTACAACATTATTGACTATATTCCCTATGTGGTACTTTACATCTCTGTGGCTGTTTTGTAACTACCAATTTGTACTTCTTACATATTCACCCAGGTTCCCAGCCCCCTCCCCTGGCAACCTTTAGCCAGTTCTGTGTCGATAAATGTGTTTCAATTTTGTTTGTATATTTTGTTCCTTAGATTCCACATATAAATGAAATCATATGGTATTTGTATTTCTCTGACTGACTTATTTCACTTAATGTAATACCCTCTAGGTCCATCAATGCTGTTGCAAATGGTAAGATTTCATTCTTTTATATGGCTGAGTAGTATTCCATTGCATATATGTACTGCTACATTTTTATCCAGTTGTCTTTTGATGGGCACTTGGGTTGCTTCCATATTTTGGCTATTGTAAATAATGCTGCAATGAACATAAGGCAGTTCCATTTTTAATTTTTTTTTAGGAACCTTCATGTGTTTTTCATAGCAGCTACATCAATTTGCATTCCCACCGACAGTATATGGGAGTTTCCTTTTCTCCACATCCATGCCAGCACTTGTTCATTGATTTAATGATGATAGCCATTCTGACAGGTGTAATATGATATCTCACTGTGGCTCTAATTTGCATTTCTCTGATGACTAGTGACATTAAGCATCTTTTTATATACCTATTTGCCATCTGTATGATCCTTTTGGTAAAGTCTATTTAGGTCCTTCGACCGTTTTTTAATTGGACTGTTTTGGGTTTTTTTAGGTGTTGAGTTGTATGAGTTCTGTATAAATTTTGGAAATTAACCCCTGATCAGATGTATCATTGGTGAATATGTTCTCCACTGCTACAGGTGGTCTGCAGAACTTTTTGGCTTTGTTTAATATTCTTGTCTCTGTTTCCCTATTTCTCCTGTCTTGGAATTGTTCTAGCTTTTTGCTATCCTGTAACAAAATTATTTTAATCAATAAAGAGAAATAAAAGGGTTAAAATATGTCAATTGATTCAGTACAAAGAAAAGAACGAAGCAAATAAAGCATGGAAAAATCATTGTAAAAATAGAACACAAAAGAAGATGGTGGAAATAAGGTAAAATGTACCAGAAATCATTTTAAAAATAAAAAAATTAAAATATGTAAAAGAGACTCAAATTGGAAGAAAACCCCCCACTATTTAGATTTATTACATTTTTACTAGACACAAGTCATTATATAATGACCCAGAAGGTAAATACATTTTTGGAAAAAATGTACCAGGAAATATTGGCCAAATAAATGTTTATTGATTAATAAACAAAAAAATACATTAACATTAAGAGGAATGAAAAGAGACGCAACAGATAAAAACAATATTTCACCATGGACCAAGAAAATTAAACTTTATGTACCATGACCTCAAAATATTTGAAGCATATTTAAATATTAAAATACTAAATATTTGAAGGACAAAGATGGTCAAAAGGTACAAACTTCCAGAAATGAGATAAATAAGTCCTGGAGATGTAATATACAGCATGGTGAATATAGTTAACAATACTGTATTGTATATTTAAAAGTTGCTAAAAGTGTAGGTCTTAGAAGTTCCTATTGGAGAAAGCAGACCCTGTGGTACTTTGGACACTTATATGGTACTTTCTTAGACAAATTCTAGGAAATTTTCTAAAACTCTGCCGCTGATATAAAGATCTTGATATTGCACTTGATCAGAGTCCATAATATCAAGCTTATATCAATATATCAATATAAAACTTAAGGCAAGAAAAAAATTTGCAAAACTATATTTAAAGTAAAAAATTGACAGAATTATAAAGAGAATTTGACTAATCCATTGTTACGGCAGAATATTTGCACATGCTTTTTAGTAACCAATAAATCAAGCCGACAAAGAATTTCAAGGTTACAGAAGGTTTGAAAAATTCATTTAACAAGCTTAATTTAAGGTATATATGAGATCTAACACACAAAGGTCCTGACCATAACAAATAGAGAACCCAAATTCTTTTCAAGTAGAGATTAATGATGTTGATTTCTAAGTGTGTTAAAATGTTTTAAGTGATAGTTTTCAAAAGTAAAATGTATACACAAAGTACAGCATGAGACTATATATTGATAAAAATACAGCATGATGTGACATCTGGCAGGCAACTTCCCCTTTGTACAGAAACCCAGATAAGTTGGATGGAGGATGTCTCAGAAGAGAGGGAACAGAATGAGACCAGGGATGTGTACAAGGAGACTTAAAGTCTGCAATGATTAGTTTCTTAACAATAATTAAAAAGAGATTTAAAGCAAAGATAGCAAAATGCTGTTAGCATATTGTTAATTCTGGGTTGTGGTTATATGGATATTTGTTATACTATAATTTTCTATATGTTTGAGTCATAATATTTTTTAAAGAGTGAGTGGAATCTTACGGAATAATTATTTGATAGATAAGAACTTGCTTTTGGAATGATATGTTACCAAGTTTTCTGGTCAGCTGGGTTTGTGTCTCATGGAGTTGAAGAATGAATTCACATACCATTCAAGAGATAAGCAGAAAGCAAAAGTTTATTGAAGGAGAGACAAAAGATCCCAGTGCAGTGAGAGGAGTCCCAAACAGGTAACCATGGGAGTTTCTTTGTCTAGGGTTTATATGTACCTGAGTGTCTTTCTATTGACTATTTTGGGAGATTCTGCTCTGGCAACATCCAATTACTTCAAATCCCCATGCTCCCACCTTTGTCTACTGCTTTCAAGGTTCAGCTGTGGAATATTGCTGTTTTCCCTTGTGGTGTGCTGATGCAGAACATCCTGTTTTGCAAGTTGTGCTGGCTCTGAGTTGCCTGCCAAATGTCATGTAGTCTACTTCCCCTTTGTTTTTCCTTGACCCCATGTCCCTCAGCTGCCTATTTTAAATCTAGCTCCTCACTACTTTGATCTAAGGTTGATATTGTGGACTCTGATGAAATGCAATATCAAAAAGATCTTTATATCAGCAACAGAGTTCTAGAAAATTTCTGAGAATTTGTCTAAGAAAGTGCTGTATAAGTAGGACAGTTTAGGGGAAGTTTATCCAAAGTACCATGGAGACTTCAATCACTAAGACCAGAACTGATCGCTTGAATGGGTTGTAATGAGTCTCAAATATCATAGAGTTGTTGCAAGGATTAAAGGCAATAATGTATGCCAGGTATATAATATAAATCATCAACAAAATTATGCTATAAAATTCAGTATCCAAGCAGAAGAAACACATTACTCAGGGATGTTAGGGAAAAAAATTAAGCTGGCTTCAGTATTCTCTTGGAGACGTTAGATACCAGTAGTCAACCAAGCAGTACATAAACAGTCATAAGGCTATATATAGGGTGCTTTGCTGTGGTTGGGGGTGGGTCAGGGCTCCACAGATTATACTTTAGGGATGTGGAGGCAGAGGACATTTTTGGAGGATCCATGCTTTTGAAATTCCTTATTTTCCTATATGCACACAAATCCATGGTGATGTTCTCTGAAGTTTATCGTGAGTTCAGCACTTTCAGTCTGTTCTGAGCACATGTCATAAAAAGGCAGAAAAAGACTCGTTTTTGTTTGTTTTTCCTCCAGGCATTTTTTTACTCATGTTTTCAAGGGAAAGACTTTGGGAGAAACTTAATAAAAAGTAAATATGACTAAGTTACATGCAACTTTTGACCCTCTCCCCTTTCGAAGAATAGAATGAGTGATGCCATTATAAAAATAAAGACACCTTAATTTATTCTCTAATTTGAATAACCCACTGCGGAAAAAAGAAGCCTTGATAGTCATAGGTAGGAAATTGAGAGAAATCAGTCCTTCTAGAATCACTGTTTCTTAGTTGTCAGAACATTGCAATGAAATTCCAGTTGTTCATGCCAAATCCTGAGGAGTACCAACTGATGAAATTATTTCATTCCTAAATGGAGTCTAAACTATACTAAGTTCTTTCCCAGTTTGCCAAGCACAGCACTTTAAAAGTTCCAAAAGTAAGACATACTTTAAGTATGTATAAACTGTGAAGTGCATTTGAAAATAAATTTTTAATTATGTTTGACATCTCAGGCCCAGTGCTGTCATCCTGTAGGAAAGTAGCATCTTTTTTTGACATCCCTAGTGGTAGAGACTTTAAATCAGTTTCCACATTGCTTATCTGCTGGCTAATCAGAATGGGTGATGTGACATTCTTACCAACTCATTCACAGGGAAGAAAAGATATGCAAGGAAGTAAGGCTGGGCTCAACTGATGTGATGAATTTAAATAAAAAATATAAACTCCTTTGAATATATTATATTTAAGCTTTAATTCAATGCAAAATTTGAAAATGTTCATTAATTATTAATTGTAAAGAGTTTTTTTTCTTATTGCTACATACCTTTGCTTTGACTTAAAACTAATAGAATATTTAGTTTTTAAAACTAATAGAATATTAAATCATATTTTACTTCTCAAACCATTTGGTTTGGTCTCAAGTTAAGGTTTGAATGGGAGAAAGTTGACTTGCTATTAGCTATAAAAAAGGCTGGAAAAGTTTTTTTTTGTTTTTTTTTTAATTTTGTGTTTCAAATTGCAGGTATTAAGAAGGCATCATGTTTTATTGTTTCTTTGATGGTTGTATAGCCTTAACATCTCTTGCCTCATCCTGTACATTAGATTTAAAAGCATAATCTATGGAAACAGCTCCCTATAGGAATCATTACTTCCATTTCTTCCATGCTGCTGAAACTTTAATAAAGACACACCAACATGATTTTAGGTTTCTTTGTGAAGAAAATAAGTCATATTTCTATTTGAATATTCAGGATTTTCCTCAAAACTTTACTGCATTATTTGGGAAATAATAATGTTGCCTCCATTCTCTTTTTATTTTTATATGTGTAGGCACAAACTTCATATTTCTACTTACGTACTGACCTATTAATTGTATACTGTTTCATTGGCTGGGTTACAAAATACACCGAATTGTTCAGTCCAACTAGCCAACTCAGTTAAAACGTATTGTTAGTATATATGCAGCTTTAGTTAAGAGAGAAGCTAGGAGAAGCTTACAGAGTATTTTATTGATAAATATGTGGAAGACAATCCTTTAACCAGATTAATACTAAAAAGGACTAGAATGTTCTTCAAAGAATAAGGCAGAATTTAAACTAACAACCTAAAGATAATTGAAATAATTTTTATATTAAATGTACATTTACTGGAAAATATTTTTGATGGGTTAATTTGTGCTGTATTTTAGGATCACATTTACCAAAATTAGCAAACAGAATGATGAAAAATAATTATCAATCACCATTAATAATAAAGTACAGGATTTGGGGGTTTGGGTGTTTTTTTTGTAGTTTAAAAAATTTTTATTTTGAGATGACGGAGTCACAAAAAGTTGCAGGAGAAATAAAAAAGTACAGGGAGCTTGATCCCCAGTGGGGGGCATGCAGGAGGCTGCCGATCAATGACTTTCTCATCATTGATGTTATTGTCTCTCTCTCTCTCCCTTCCTCTCTCTGAAATCAATAAAGATATATTTAAAAAAAAAAGAAGTACAAGGAATTCCAGTGTTCCCTTTGCCCAGTCTCCCCCAGTGGTAACATCTATGACACAATATCAAAACCAGGAAATTGACAATGATATGATCCACAGAGTTTTTTCAGATTTCACCAATTTTACAAGCACTCATGTATGTGTGTTTCATGCAATTTTATCCCACATTTAGCTTTATGTAATCAATACAACTAAAATACAGAACTGGTCCATCACCACAAGACTGCCTCATGTGGCCCCTTTATATCCTTAAACCCTGGCCATCACTAATCTGTTCTCCATATCTATAATTTTGTCATTACAAGAATGTTATAGAGATGAAATCATACAGTATATAATCTTTGAGAATGGCTTTTCCCCCTTGAGATCTATCTAAATTGTGGTGTGTATCAATAACAAAATTCCTTGTTGTTGATGGGCAGTGTCCCATAACACAGCTGCAGTAGAGTTCGCTTAACCACCTGTCAAAGGACATCAAGGCTGTTTTCAGTTTGGGGCCATTATGAATAAAGCTGCTATGAAAGTTTATGTACAAGTCTTATATTAACGTAAGTTTTCATTTCTTAGGATACATACCAGGAAGGATAATTGCTGAGTCATATGGTAAGTGCATGTTTAGTTTTTTAAGAACCTGACCAACTCTTTTCCAGAGAGGTGGTACTATTTTATATCCCCACCAGGAAGTTATGAGAAAACCAGTGATTCCATATCCTTCCCAGAATTTTGTGTTATCACTAAATTTTATTTTAGCCACCCTTATAGGTGTGTTGTATGGTTTTAACTTGCATTTCCATACTGGCTAATGATGTTAACCAATGTTTCCTGTGCCTTATCATTTGTATATGCTTTCTAGTGAAATGTCTATTTTCTTTTTAAAAAAAATTATCTTTATTGTTGAAAGTATTACAGATATCCCCCTTTTCCCCCCCATTGATTCTTCTCCCCCAGGCCTTTACCACATTATTGTGTGTGTCCATGGGTTAAACATATATGCATATAAGTTCTTTGATTAATCTCTCCCCACCCACTCCCCCACCCCAGCCTTTCCACTGAGAGTCATCAGTCTATAACATGCTTCTATGTCTCTGGGTCTATTTTGTTCCTCAGTCTATTTTGTTTATTAGATTCCACGTATGAGTGAGATCATGTAAAACTGAGTCAGGAAGAATCAGAAAACCTGAATAAGCTAATAACAACTGATGAAATTGAAGCTATAATAAAAAAAACTTCAAGCAAACAAAAACCCTTGTCCAGATGGCTTCAGAGGGGAGCTTTCTAATTCTTTAAGTTGTAGGGTTAGACAGTTTATTAAAATTTTTCTTGCTTTTTGAGGTTGGCCTGTACTGCTATGAACTTCCCTCTCAGGATGCTCATTGTGTCCCATAGACTTTGGGTTGTTGTGTGTTCATTTTCATTTGTTTCCAGGAAGTTTTTGATTTTTTTCTTCATCTTATTGGTAACCCACTGATTGTTTAATAATGTTATTTAGCCTCTGAGTGTTTTAATGTTTTTGAGTGTTTTTACTGTAGTTGATTTCTAATTTCATGTCATTGTGATCTGAGATGCTTGATATGATTTCAAACTTCTTGAACTTTTAGAGACTTGTTTTGGGTCTTAACATGGGGTCTATCTTTGAGAATGACCCATGTGCACTTGAGAAGAATGTATAGTCTGCTGCTTTGGGGTGAAATGTTCTGTAAATATCAATCAAATCCACCTGTTCTAGTGTGCCATTTAGAGTCACTGTTTCTGTGTTGACTTTTTGTCTGGAAGATCAATACAGTGAAGTCAGTGGGGTGTAAAAGTCCCCGACTATAACTGTATTGCTGTTGATCTCTCCTTTAAAGTCCATAAGGTTATTATTGATAGGTCTTTATTGCCATTTTAATTCTTTATGTCTATGTTTATCTCTCTATTTCTCCTTATTATTACAGCAGTCCCTTGAACATTTCTTGCAGTGCTGGTTTGGTGGTGATAAACTCCTTTAGCCTTTTATTGTCTGGGAAGCTCTTTATTTCACCATCTATTTTGAATGATAGCCTTGCTGGATAGAATAGTCTTGGTTTCAGATCCTTGTTTTGCATTACCTTGAATACTTCATGCCATTCCCTTCTGGCCTATAGAGTTTCTGATGAGAAATCAACTGACAGCCTTATGGGAGCTCCTTTGTAGGTAACAGATTGCTATTCTCTTGCTGCCTTTAAGATTCTCTCTTTGTCTTGAATTTTGGCATTTTAATTATGATATATCTGGGCATGAGCCTCTTTGGGTTATTCTTGCTTGAGACTCTCTGTGCCTCCTGAACTTGTGTGGCTTTTTTCTTGACCACGTTAGGGAAGCTTCTGCCATTATTTCTTTTTTTTTTTTTTTTTTTTTTAATATATCTTTATTGATTTCAGAGAGAGGAAGGAAGAGGGAGAGAGAGAGAGACAGAAACATCAATGATGAGAGAGTCATTGATCAAGCCCACAACTGGGCATGTGCCCTGACCGGGAATCGAACCCCGATCGCCTGGATCCCAGGTCGACGCTCAACCGCTGCGCCACACCTGGCTGGGCTCTGCCATTATTTCTTCAAACAGTTTGTCCGTCTCTTGCTTATTCTCTTCCCCTTCTGGTATTCCTAAAATGTGAATATTGTTATGTTTCATGTTGTCCCATAGCTCTCTTAAACAGTCCTCCTGCATTTTAATTGTTTTTTCTTTTTGGGTCTCTGATTGAATGATTTTTTTCTACCCTGTCTTTTAAATTGCTGATCTGATCTTCAGCTTCCTCTAATCTTCTCTTTATTCCTTCCAATATATTTTTTATTTCTGTTATGTCAGTCTTCATTTCTGACTGGTCATTTTTCAAAGATTCTATAACTTTCCTCATGCTGTTGAGCATCCTTACAATCAGTATTCTGAACTCTGTATCTGATAGATAGCTTATCTCCATTTCATTTAGCTCTTTTTCTGGAGACTTCTCTTGTTCTTTTATTTGGGGCTTGTCTTTTTGTCTCCCCATTTTGGGTAACTATTTGGGTTGTTTCTATGTATTGGGTGTATCTGCTAGGACTCAGTCTTTTAGGAGGTTCTCTGGTGCAGGCCAATGTCAGACACTGTTTGTGACAGGCGTTGAGTACCCTGTTTGGAGCTATCAACAACCCATGGCTTGTGGTTCCCTCTGCTAGGCCGGCTAGTTNCCCATGGCTTGTGGTTCCCTCTGCTGGGGCTGGGTGTGTTTGGACAGGACCAAGACACACACCAAGTCTGCTTTTCCAAGGCCCTCATCCAGAAGCAGATTAGGCAAAGACTCAAAGCTCCCAGAGTTCTGCCTTTGCCTGCAGGCTAATTCATCTTAGTGTCTTAAGGAAGCTCAGGCTGTAGATAGCAGCAAGGCATAAACTCCACAGGGTGGGGCAAGAGGTTTTCCAGTGGGTGGGGCAATTCCTTCCCCGCCAGGCAAAAACAACCTGGCTGTCAAAGGTTTGCCTGAGAAAGACTTCCTCTGCAGAATGGGGAAATGACTCAGCACATGAATCCAGATGGCTGCCCTCTGAGTTGTCTCTAGAGCCTGAAACCCCAGATTCTTCTCACACCACTCTAGGTCATTCTGCCCTTTCTCTGCTGGAGCCCAAGCTTAGTGGCTGCACACAAAACTTTGTGCATTGGCTATTTAAGAGGGTGCCTGCATTTCCAGCCCTCTCTCCCTGGCAGACAGAAATTCTGCTGCTTTTTGCAGCCAGATGTTATGTGGGCACCTTTCTCAGTTCTGTTGCTCTGGGCTATGAAGCCAAACTTGGGGTTTAGGCCCCAAAGTTCTCAGTGGGAACCCCTCACAGCTGAGATATCCCTCTTGTCCTTCAGCTGCTGCCTGTGGGTGCCCTGCCACCCCTCTTGTACCTCCATACTTCTTACTAGTCTCTATGCTGTCTCCCTTTTAGGTCGTTGCTTATGAGGATGCTCTTTAGCTCATCTTCAGTTGTAGTTGATTATTCAGGATGGTTTTTCTCTATTTTAGCTGTCATTCAGTTTGGTCCTGGGAGAGTGTCAGTGTAGCTTCCATTCAATCCGTTACCATCTTGGAATCTTGAAATGTCTCTAAAGTAAAGATTTAATAGCTTTTCTTTGCCTTTCGACTGTATTTATTTTATGCAGTGATGAACACGTTGCAGACCTCCTCTTTATTAAGCATTAATTATGCTAAGATGAGCCTCCTACTCTTTACTTAATGCTAGAGTGAAGGTCAGTGATAATGGTATTTTGGCAAATCAGATAATTTCTAATGGGCTAAAACAGGGAAATGGTTGAGACGTTTTCCTTTTATTTTGTAATTTTGATGCCATTTTTGGATGAGTTGTAAATCTAATTCTTTTTTTCTTGTCACCACATCATAGAATTATATATTGTTTTTTTCAAAATGCAGAGCATATTACATATTGATTATAATTGCATAAAGTATTGTAAATGTTTTAATTCTCAATAGACCTATATTGCACATTCTTGCTCATAAGAAAGTGTCTCACCCCAAAATTATTTAGAATTAGAAGCTATACTGAAATAATCTTATTTTTAAATTATTGGTTATTTCTTTGTTAAATATAAAATATTTACTGATTTAAGAAACAGAAGAACTATCATTCTCCTATGCCCAAATCATCACATTTTATCCTCATAAAGTAAAAACAGCTTTAATTCCAACTTGTTGGAAGGGAGTACCACAGATTAACTTTCAATCAAGAAATCATTTTTGGTAGCTGTGGCACAGCTTTAATAACCTTATTCTTCAAGATACTGAATTTAATTTGTAATCATTTTATTTTGAAGAACATCTAAAGAATTACATTAGTGAAATGTAAACATTTTTAGGTCTTTTATTGAGTAACTTCTTCCTGGCTCAAGTGAGTGTTGGATATACCTTCTTAAATGTATTTTTACCCCCAGCAGTATTACAGCAACAATAATATGTATTAAAACTGGGCTTTCTCCAAGAATCAGTCATGAGTTGGTCTTCTTTGACCACATTTCCTGTCTACAAAATCTTAAATAAACAATGAATAAGGGATCAGAAGTGTTACCATTAATACTCTATGGGAGATCAAGGTTTCAAGTTCTCTTCCCCTGATATTGTTCTGTTATTATTCAAAGAAAAAAATTATTTTAAGTAATATTACTAGATTTTTATTGGAAAAAATAAAGTAATGACTAATAAAATAATGAACTATGACAGTAGTCTATTTAACTTTTTATTTCTTTTTACCCACCTAAAATTCTGTTAGTGTGATAGAGAACTTAAAAGGTTCTCCCATTTCAGAAATTCTCTTCATCTTATAGTCCAGGTGGGACAAAGGTGATGATCAAGAAGAAAGAAACATCCAGTGTGAAACTTAGGGTATTTTAGGTAGGAGGGAAGTTTCTTTTATACTTACTTTTTTCTACCCTTGCCATTTGAGTGATATGTTTTGAAGAATCAAGGCTAAGATGATGCCCAACATATAAAATGGGCATATAAAATGTTTAGGGGTTTCGGTACTTGGGAAGAAAGAGCCAAGAGGTGGTGATCTCAAAATCTTGAGTGAGGAAAAAACAACATTTCAGGTAGGATAGCTTATAGACATTTGGG